TTTTTTCTTTCTTTCTTTGTTTTGACTGTGATACAGGTGATGGTGCAGCCACTACATGAAAAGGCGGAGGCTCCTGTATGTCTACCGGGAATGGACATCCCTTTCACTCCATCAACCTTTGGAAGGGTGAGCAAAAAATTAAACCTTTACTGTGTCAAGTCACTGATGGTTCTGAAAACTGCTACCCTACCCTGACCGGGACCGAGGGTTCATACTTGGAAATAGTCCTTGTCCCATTAGACAATGTGAAGTACAAAATAAATGTAGCAGAGCGATGAGGTGGAAGCAGGGAGCTTAGCAGGAACCCGGAAGTGAGAGACTGGGTGTTCTTGTAATAGAGACAATGAGAGAATGAATGGGCCCAGAGCTCAGGTGAAATAGGGCTTAGAGAACTGAACAAGAAAAGACGACAAAAAACATGAAGTAAAGAAATGAGCCAAGAAGGTGGGGGGAGAAGGGGGAGCCTTTCACAATTATCGATGTATAACACCCCAGCCCCAGGGGGACAAACAACAGAAAAGTGGGTGAAGGGAGACAGCAGTCAGTGTAAGACATGAAAAAAACGTATAATAATTTATAAATTATCAAGGGTTCATGCGGGAGGGAGGGAAAAAAAAAGAGGAGCTGATACCAAGGGCTCAAATAGAAAATATTTTGAGAATGAGGATGGCAGCATATGTACAAATGTGCTTCACACAATGGATAGATTGTTATAAGAGCTGTAAGAGCCCCCAATAAAATGATTAAAAAAAAGAAACAAGACAAAAAGCCTTAGCAAATGAGTTAGCGATCAAGTAAAAGGCCTACTATTAGTAAGCAAAGGAAACCATAATAATGCAAAACTGTACAGGGAATAGCAACAGAAATACCATTAATTTCCTGCTCAAAACCATTTAGTGCAACAGATGCTCAGTAAATTAATGGCTCATTCCTGGTTCCAGACATCAAGCACTCGACGTCAATGATACAAGGAATCTTGGTAGGGCAGCAGTTAAACACTGGACTGCTAACCAAAGGGTTGGCAGCTTGAATCTAACTACTAGCTTTGGGGGAGGAAGACCTGGTAATCAGTACCTGTCAAGATGACAGCTTTCAAATCCATGTGAGGAGTGCTACTCTTTCCACGGAGTCAATAGGAACTGAGACGGACCCAGCAGCACCCAACAATACATCATGATAAACTTTATTACGTCAGAACAAGGCTCAAGGTCTCGAAGGAAAGGGCATCTCCTTTCTTCTCTTCGGGTTGGCATTGGACTGCGGAAAGGTTGGCAGTTCAAACCCACCAGTAGGGGAAAGATGAGGCTGTTTGTTCCCATAAAGACTTCCAAACACCTTGGAAACCCTATCTGGGTCCCTATGCCTCAGAAACCACCCAATGGCAGAGAGTTGGGTTTGGGTTTCAACCAGAAATTTACCCACAATTCCTTGGTAAGCAACTTCAACATTACCCTGGAGCTTGTTAGAAATGCAAAACCTTGGAATCCACTCCCAAACGGAGGCACTTTTTAACAACTCGCCTGACCCACAAGCAGGTGAAGCTTGAGAAGCATTGTCATCCACTTTCTCTTGCAACTCCAATTACGTTGTCTGTCTCACTCTGACAGAACTGCTTCTAGGATCCAGAGATTTTTCCCTCTGTATTACCACCTCAACCTAACAATCATCATTTTAGTCTCATTCGTCGGTCCCAATAGTTCTAAACTTGAACTGCATGGAACAGAATCTCCTGGGTGCTCTAAACAGTACTGACACCTTGGCCATGCTCCTAGAAAGCACGATTCAGTTGGTCAAGGTGACCTGGACCTTGGCATTTTTTGAATCCTCTATCATCAGTCCTATCTTCAAGAGCATCCTCCAACCAACACAGCTCATTACTGGTATTCTGTTGTATTGGTTAGCATTGCACAGGCTGGCCAGTATTCAATATTGGCAACCAAAGGTAAACACTGGTTTATTTCCATCTTCAAATTTTTTTTCCCATTTTTTTCTCTCCTGGTCTTCCTTGAAAAAAATAAACACAGTTGGAAGCTACCTCTACTTGGAATGAGTAACGAGTTTTGTTTGTTTGTTTGTTTGCATTTTGTTTTGAAAAGGCTGACATGATGGAAGCACTTAGCAAGACGCAGTCCTCAGTGAATCCGGAGGAACGGAGAAAACTTCCTTAAGCCTCATGAAGATTAACACTCCATTATGCTCTGTGAACCTGGGGCGGTATTGGAGCTAAGTCTGCAGACAGCTTCTGCAGATTTATGTCTGCCCCTGAGTTGAATGGCATGCATGGCATTTTAGAAGATTTTAGAAGTGAGTTCTATGTAAAGTCTACCACGAAGCATAAGAAGTCACTGCACAATGTGCTACGACACAGTAAAATCTCCCTTAGGCCCTGGGAAGCCCCTTGAATTATCTTTCAGAGGTAGCCCGTGGTCCTGGAATTAAAGGCTGAACTTTGGATTTGTTCACACCGATATGGATAGGCTTGTATGGCGCTTCTGATTGCCTTTGCTTTGCTTTCTTAGATGAGCCTAGTGCAAGGACCAAGAACTAAAATGTCACTGGGAAGAAAATTTGAAAGGTTTCTTATTCTGTTTTGTGCTATGAGCTGAGTTCCAACTACATAACCCCTAAACTTAAGAAATTTACATAGCGATAGATGTTCATATTCTGAGCACTTATATGAAGTCCAAGGAACAGCCAAGTGATCAAAACAAATAAAAAATTCAAAATTACTCACCCAACATTTGTATTCCTGTCAGATTTCATGGATTTATTGGATGCAGGTAAAACCGAAGCCATGCCTTCTACTGAAAGTGGGCAGCCACTCATAAATTGATGGAAGGAGAGAGGAATATTATGATGTGCTATTAGACTGTAGACCTAATCCTAACAGTTCAGATCCAAGTTAGAATAATTCCCTCCCTTAAAACTCATGTTTTCTTCAGAAATTACTAACAAAGCTTTCCTCTTATCCATTTAAACTCCTCTACTAACTGGAAAATAGTCTTCTTCCACAAATATGGCATTTTACATTACAATTTAAATCTCAGATCAGCTCTTCCCCAAGAAGACAGATTCCCTTTGCCTGTGTGACATGCTCTCTTTGACCAAGTTGGTTAGCGCGTTAACTGTTGACCAGAGCACTTTTCCCTTACATCTGGTCTTTGTCCCAGCCTGAGTCTAGAGTAGCACACAGACTTATTTGTTTTGAGACAGCTGGGTGTGGACGCAATCCCTCTGCTGGTTTCCATAACAACTCCACCAGGTTGTCTGAAAAATGTGTCCAGTCCAAGTGAGAACCTCCAGTTCCCAAAGGTTTCCCTTCCCACCCCCGCTTTACTTCCTCCCAGCCAACTTGTTCTCATTATTTGTGATCACAAATGGGGGCAATGTCCAAGTCAGGACCTCAGAATACCCCTTCATCTGAACTTTGCCTGTCCCTGTTCACACAGAAATTCTGAAGAGTCAACAGTAGTTATTTCCTGAGACTTCTTCAGTTAACTAAACCCCCAGCTTCCCACAAACGCCCCTGAAGCAGCTTTCCATGGACCTCGGGTTGGGTTTTCCAGAGAAGCAAACCAGCGGAGCCCCAGGTGGTGCTTTGGGGTCAGCCCCAGGCTGCTAACCACGACCAGCGGTTCAAGTGGACCAGCGGTTCTGCTGGAGAAGGCGAAGGTTATCTGCTCCCTAGATAGTTACAGCCTCATTAAAAAATGTAGTATTATTAATTGGGAATTAATGTATATATCATATCATTCCATAGCTCCATCATGTCAACCAGGGTTATACAATGGCTACCACAGTCAGTTTCCAAACATTCTTTTCCTTCCTGGACTCCTTGACATTGTCTCCCTTTTATCCCACCCCCTAAATGCCTTGAAATCCTAATTCTACTTGCTGCCCCTATAGGGTCATCAATCCTGGGTTTCATACTCCGAAACACAGGAAAGCATAGAGCACTTCATGAGGGTGACCTCCAATGACATATATGTGTGTGTATAGACACACACATATATAAACTTTTTATAACATAAACATTTTCCCCCAGATAAACATTTCATTTCTAATGTTTTATTTAAAAAGTAAAGATTGTCTGAATCTCTTTTTTTTAAAGTTTACAACCTAAAAAACCAGTACGGGGTCAACTCTGAGTCAGAATTGACTTGATGGCAGAGGGTTGGAGGGTTTCCTAGAGAGAGAGAGAGAGAGAGAGAGAGAGAACTCTTCAGCGGTAAAGACTGGCAAATTCTAAGTCTGCGGGTCAGATATCAGAATGGGGTTTTCTCCTGACTCCCAGGGAGGTCTCTCTGCTAAAATCCTCAAGAATGGCAGGCTAACTGGTTGCTGGCTGCTGCTTGTGAAGGCGGACGAGCAGAAAGTTGGCAGGTAGGCTGGCAGGGTGTTGACTCATAGTCTGCCGCCAGCTCAAGACCAAAGAACTGGAGATCGGATGATGATAAGCCAGATGCAGAATTCAGATCCAGCACAAGGTGAGAACATCTATCTATATCTGAAGCAGGCCAGACCCCAGAGGAAAACACCCTTTCACCTGATTGGCTGCTCATGGTAGAGGTCGTCAAGGAGGTGGTTTCAGTATATCAAATCCCATCACAAGAGGTGACTCCATCATCACTGCCAAGTTGTTGAGGATCATGGCCCAGTCAAGTCGACACACTACCTTAATTATTCATTACAAGGGATCAAACCAGTTGAGACATAAAGTACAGTCTGGTATTTTTGGAAAACACAATGTCAAGAAATGCATGAATTCAAATGGAACTATCCATAGGGAAATAATGATAATGTTCACACATGGTGATGAATGTAACCTAATTGTATAGTGAAAATTCATATAGAAATTATTGAATAGGAACATAGATAAAAACACTCTGGTACAATCATACTATGGATTTTATGCATCAATAAAAAACAGCGATAACTTTCTTAAACACCACAAGGCATGGACAAAACTAGAGAACATTAGCAAACTCAATCAATCTGACAAAGCATTTAATTATCATCATTGTTATAAGGAAAAAACAAAGAAGAAGAAATGTGGTTTATAAAAAAAAATAGTCAAGATTTTGACTGCAAAGAGGCCAAGGACAGGAGTGGAAACAGAGAGCTGGGAGGGATGGAAGAGAGGACCAAAAATTGGAGGATTTAACACAAAAACAAAACTTTACATAAATGAAATAAAAATTGCTTCCTGGGGGAAAAGATACCCTCCAGATTGCTGAGATCTAAATATTGGTCTGATTGGCTAAACATGGGAAGAAAAGTAAAACTGAAGTAGACGTGGAGTCTAATGACCTACAGGTTCATTTCAAAGGTGAAAAGAAGAGAAGGGGACCCTAAGCTCCCGCTGCTGAAAACCCTCTAATGTGTGCTACCTAAGAAAGGAGCGCCTCTGCCCTCAGGTCCTGCTGCACGTTCGGTTGGGAGAATATAGGAAACCTGCTTAGAACTTCACCCTGTTTCTTCTTGCGTCGGCTCCCATGGGAGTGAGCTGGAATTCTATTCTGGTGAGAGTTTCAAGGTCATTAGTCTGAGGACTTCCACGCAGTCAGACCCTAAGATGTTCATAAACATTTGATCAACACCAGATACAAGACATTTAATATTGTGCATTGATTTCTCCTTCAACTTGTGCACAATAGGCACGGACCAAAAGTTCATATAGGGCTGGGCATCTTGATGGAAAGATGTTCTGGTTCATGGTGAATTCCATGCTGGCCCCCACCAGTCCATCTTGGTCAAACAGCAAAATCTGCAAACTGACGTGGAAAGAGAAGAGAGGGCTCCAGGTAAAAGCACCTGTGCAGCGGCCTCAAGCTTGGGCCATCATCACCCACCAGCCTGAGATGTTCGCACACCCACAAGGACCTTTATCTTGGAAAAGGTAACAGCCACTATGAAGCGAAACATATACCCCAGCCTGTGCTTCATCACTGCAGCGAGGCACAGTATTCCTCTCTGGACTGTATAATAAGATCTATGGTACTGCTTTTATACCAAGACCCACTTGGAGCTGGGATAGATAGTTCCTACTCTTCCCTAGTCAGCACACATGATCGGGACCCTCAGTACCTGCACTTCGGATCCCTGGCATCTCCACACTTCGATTTGGTATTCTATGCAGTATCTGTCGAGTTATTTTTAGGAGGACCACCAAATTCCAATCTGGCATTTGCCTCTGGCTCTGACAGGTGAAAGCGTTAGCTAATTAGATAAGTGTTAGGTAATTAATTGCTCTGGTGAATTAATTAGACAAATTAACATGTCTGCTTCCAGTGCAGAATCTGTCAGCCAATGATCCTTATCACTAACAGTACAGGTTAACATCAGCTAAGATTTATGGATCTCATGTCATAACTCCCCTGGACATGAACGCAAGTAGTCATCATTTGCGGAGAAGATGGAATGGTCTGGTAGAACCTGTGAAATAGAGTACTGATGCGTGTCTTCTGGCCAGTCTTAATGTCTTCTCCCAGGACAGACTCTTGTGCTCTCAGAGAAGGTGGTTTCTCAATATTTATTTGATTGATTTTTACTGCAAGTGGCCAGTCAACTAAGTGGGCAGAGAAAAGGTGTTGTTTACGAGAGCCCGCCTGCTGGAGCACACAAGACAAGCTCCGACTCAGGCCTGGGTATTTGGGGACAGCGTGTGTGTGCCAGGCCGAGCACGTGGCCCCGCTCAACCAGATGATCCACCAGTGGGGCCCTCTGTCGACCTCACCAATCCCCTCTCCGCAGTGTCTAGCCCGAGGCAAACACTTCACTTCCCAGCTTCTCCCTTCCACTGTGCCAGTGTTTTAATGTTTTCATGCCCGTGGCGATTTTCTATCTGGTTTAATGTTGCCCCCAAACCTCTCACGTTGAGGAAAAGAAAGCTGAGCCCCTTAGCATAACTGGCTGATATCTCAGGCTTCCCAGCTGGTACGTTTTCTGCCAAATCAGTGAAATGTGTACAGGTAGACGGTCCCATATACCGCCCCCCTAAGTACGACTGCGCTCCTTTCAGGAATGGGGCTTCTAGGACCTTGTTGGAAAGGCCCAGGCATCTTCCCTGTGACGGGGCTGTGATGCACCCAGCGGGCGTGGTGAAGACCAGGAGCATGGGTCTGCCCTCACAGGCTCGACATTTTGGTGGGGAAGAGAAAGGAATGCTAAAGAATATGACGGGTGCGACAAAAAAAATCAAAGGAATCCTGGTGGCACTATGGGCTTGGCCTTGGGTGGCTAACCTGAGGTTTTCAGTTCGAACTCACCGGCCACATCATGGGGAAAAAATGAGGCTCTCTGCTCCTATAAAGATCGGCAGTTTCTGCATCTCTGAGTTGGGTTGATAGGGGTCAGGATCAACTCAATGGCAGTGGACTGGGGGGTAAAAGCTCAAAGGAGAGGCATTGAGCCTCCGTTGGGGGTACCGGAGGCTGCTAGGTAGAGTCCTGAGAAAGAAAGTGGCCCCTAAAAACATCGCTGAGGGTCAAGGGGAGGTGAGTCTGGGAAGCTGTGCTCTTGGCTCAGGGAAGATTGTGTAAAAAGCAGAGGGGGAAATGGTACATTTAGGGAACTATTAGTAGTACTCTGCGGTTTTTATCGCCAAGTACTTGCACTGGATCCACCCAGGAGAGATGGCTTTCAGGTTTGGTGTTTCTGGCATTTCCAGAAAAAGAAGACAGGCTCCAACAGGGTTGCATGCACTGTACTTCCATGTTCACCTGTGACACACTCCCCTGCTCCCCTGTTAGCCAACAATGCAGTCTAGTAGTGGTGTGCACAAGACCATTGCAGGGGCTATAAATATATAAAAATCAGCATTCACGGGTACTGTCATCTAATGGAATACAAATTTTAAAGTGCCCCCTGTTTCAGTTCAGTGAACTTTGATCTTTCAAACGGATGGATTTATGTATCATCTAAGTTACGAATCATGTGCAAAGCCTTTTTTTCCCAAAACCAAATGTTCCCTTCAGTTACACAGGAATAAACCTGAGACCATAACGTAATGCTCTTTTACTTTCTACCAGACCAACTCCTTTCATTTTCAAGTCCAAAATTACCTACTCGCTGCCTGACTAACCTCCCCAGGAGGCACCCACTGAGTGGTGAAACCACAGAACCAGCCTCCTGGCAAAGCCTCCACTCTTATTTTCCCTTCCTGTGGTGGCACGTCTTTCAGGTGGGGAGGGGATCACGGAACGTCCTTACCTCCGGCCACACCAGCTTCTCCCCAGTACT